ATAATATAAAAATAATAATGAGATAATGATAGAAGTAACGAGTAATGATAATGATAACGATATTGATACTGGAAAAAATTTTAAAGCTGTCGTTCCGTAATATTGTTGGCGGATAAAAGCTGTGAAAACTATGCAAATGACGAAGAGAGTTAAAAAAAAAAGCTTATAATTAGTATGCTTAGATTATAGCTACAAGTAATAAATATAAGTAATTAAATTAAGCTGATTATTACTACGGATGATTATTATTGACATAAGAGTAGATTTAGGTGAGATTATATTATAAGCCAGTTGTAATTGTCCTTTGTGAATATACATAAGGCAGAAATGAAAAATACAAGAAACTTTTATGAGTAAAAAAATTGTCTAACTTTTTTTTATAAATTTATTCGAATACCTCTCTCGTACGCCATAGTCTTTAAAAGATAAGACTTTTGCATTTATTGCAGTTGATTTGTAATCAAGATTATTTTATATCTCGATATATATATAGTATTTGTCATATAATAATTAAATGAAATCAAATTATATAATCGCATTGTTGAAAACTAAACGATAAGATTCTATGCAACAAACTTTTTACTAAATTAAAATGGTTGTATACATTATATAATATATATTATATATATATATCTAATTATTCTTGGAATAACTGGTTCGTATACAGCATTTGCCTAGAGTTAAAATTATTAAAGTCTATAGGAATATAATTGATTAATAAACCATTATTCTTTTCTTATCTAGTAACAAAGATTTTCTAAAGATGCTTAAAAAAACATTATACAAGACTAATTAAAATTTGTCAATCATATTATATATGTACAACCAGATATATCTGACATATTAAAATTATAACTAATTATTATTAAAATATACTCATCTTTTTTTTTGATAATAAAATTGACGTTATTTCAAGAGCTTTCTTTCGTTTGATTAACAACATTTCTCGTTGTTAAAGAAATCTCTGTGAAATTAATTTCCTTTTTCTTAAAACATGCTAATATTACTGTCTTAATCAACCGACAGGTATTATTATGTATGCAGAATCTGAAACGTACAATGATTAAATAAAAACGAAGTACGAATGTCAAAATTATCCTTCATGTGTATGAATATAAATTACCTTTCTGCATTTCGAAGTCGTACTTTCATTGGCTCAAAACAATCGTTTGAAAAACGAACTGAGATGAGGTTGATAAACTTTTCATTTATGTCTTATTTAGAATGCTTCGATCTTTTTTTTTTTTGAAGGTAATGATATTAATGTCACAAAAATATCAAGGAAAAAATATAGTAAAAGTATTGGAAAAAATTTAATTGCAAACTGACCTACTAGCGCTACCACCGATGGAACCACGATGAATGGGAGCTTCAGTTTTAATGATAACACCTTGTGCGATACCATAGTGTTCGTAAACATCTTTACCAGATACGAAAGTATTGATATTCGAAGTAGTTTGCTTCGATTTAATTGATGACATTTTTTCTGGTGGACGTGAGGGCAAAACATCGGGAGGTAACGAAGTATTACTGACACTTTGTAGTGCATTTAAACTTTGCATCACTAAATGAGATGCAATTGGCATGGCCAATGGATTGGTTGCTTGTACAATTGTTAATTTTTCTTTCTGTTCCATTGATTGTACATCCTTTTGAAGATCTGACGACGTCAAAGAGGTAGGTGATTCTGATACTCTTTTAACAAAATCGTTTGTAGCTTTGTCAACCATAGACGAGACCCTTTGAATTGTACTTTTAACAACTTTGTTATCAACTAAGGGCGATCTCTCTGATTGAGTTGTTACTAACGCACTGACAGATTGACTTCTTTTCGTTGCTTCGTTCAATTTTATTTCATTCGTACGCGTTGACGTCTCCGAAAAAGGTGTCGTCTTTGCACGATGCTTCCTTGTTGGAGTTTGAGGACTTTCAACGTGTGCTTTCCCATTGACAGCACTGTTTCTAGGAATTGAATAGGTTCTTTCTACAGTGACGTCAATCGATGAACCATTGCTACCATAATTTCCACTAGTTGTTGGCACAGAACTGTCCCTGGAAGTAGTACCATTGTCTTTTTGAGAATCCTCGATAATTTGATCATTAATATTGGCCGATGAGGATATTGTATTATCAATAATTGAATTATTTTTTAATCCCATCTTATTTCCATTGATAACCTGTCCAGTATTCAATTCTAAAAGCTCAGTGTTTTGTTCTTCTTTCTTGATCATTGCTAGGCTGGGGTCGCCATTAGGGAAACTAGCAAATCTAGCAACGGTTTCTCGTTCTTCAGCAACTTGCGGAGCGAATGGTATCTTCCTTTCAACGGGCTTAACCGATGAACGTCTTTTTGTTACCATTTCTGTTCGTCTCTTTCTTCTCTTAATCTCAGACGTTTCTTTCTTTGGTGGATGCATTTCTGGAAAATGTCTACCTCTCATAGAAACTGGTTCCTTATCCTCTAACTCTTGGACATCGATACATTCGTTAATGTCTGATTCATCCTCTTCGTTTTCTTCTACGATAGCACTAGCTTCTATCCATTCCCTGATACGGTCTTTCTTTTTAGCTCGATCAACGGTCGTTTCAATACCATAAGTAGTCAACGTATGCAGGAGTTGGTTTTTTTCTTCCAAAGAACTGTGAAAACTGTACATGGATGGACAGAGTTCGTCTCTTTCGTCAGCACCACCTGAAATAAGTAGGACAAGTTTGTTATACTCTTCGTTTAATATAACTAGATTAATGTGGTTAGATATTAAAATAATCTCAACATATTTCTTACCATTCAAGGCTTTTTCAGCACCCAATTTAGCTAGCCATCTGTCTTCCAAATATTTATTAACTTCCAATACGCTAACAGGCCTTTTCTCCGCCTTAGGATCTAACAGCCTCTTAAATAGTCTGCGTCAATTTATTCAAGTATGTTAATATTTGATTATGTTTATTTGATTATTTGAAAGGCGCAAAAAACATTTCAATAGACTATGGTTCAAAGAGAACTAATTTGAACGTTTGCCAATTCAAAAATATAATGTCACAAGAATCCATTAACTCATTTGTTTGCACAACTTTAAGAAACATTATCTCTAATATATATATATATATATTTCTTAAAAACATAATAATTTTTAAATAATAGAAATTACCATATATATTTTTGATACTCAGAAAAATAATAAGGCATCAACAATTTAGATTGATACCACGTAGTCATGCGTACTAAAAGTTAAGATATTTACCTCTGTGCCCGTGAGCTGATCAGCTGAAATAATTTCGGTTTCTTGGCGATGTTAAGCGTCGCATTGTGCCAGTTTAGATATCTTGTGTATCGTGGGTCGTCCAATGCTGCTTTCTGCCATGGTAGGCATCCGGTCAGGCAAACAAATAGGACAATGCCGAATTGCCAAACGTCATGAGATGTCAGAGCTCTGAAAATTGTTTTAGATTAATAGTCAATCAATATTGATTAGCAAAACTGTCAATTCATTGTATTAAATCATCGTCTAAGACAATTGACCTTTTTAATTGTCCAGAATTGGTGATGCATAGTGATCACAAATAGATCTATAGGATGACTCAAGTATAATGTAGTGTTGTTGGTGAGAATAACTGATTGGTAAATAAGTGATGGTAGTAAAATTAAATCGGTGTTGATAGTTTTGTGTTTTAAAATAGAATTAAAGTAAATGATCATGCAACCTAATCGTAGATTTAAAATGTATAGTTCTTAATTACTTGTAGGTTTCATCGGTCTTGATCTGTAGTACCTCGGGGGGTGAATAAGGAAGCCACTCATTGTGTCTTCGTACGATAGTGTTAACCCGTCTGGTCTCGCCGAAGTCACAAAGCTTTATACGCGAGAAATCGCTTCGAAAAACTAGTACATTGTCCAACTTGATGTCTCTATGAACAAGCTCGCGACTGTGAATATGATGAACAGCGGCTGCCAATTGTCTTGCAACTCGTTTTGCATGTAGCTCGCCCAAACCAGTCTCCGTTACGTTCGACGTTAGATCACCTGAAAATATACATCATTCACTATTAGTTATCCATTCGAAATTATTCATATTAATTGTATTATTTGTTTCCCATTTTGTTACATTATCTAAATAAAAAAAAATCTCGCGAGTATTTTATTAAACGATTAAATTAATTTAAAAATAATCTTTTCAATATTAGTTAAACGATATATATACATTTATTTGATCGAGTTGCATCAGATTTACTGACGAATACAGATCGAATGTATATAGTATAGAAAATTTGCGAGACAAGTTGTATGCAATAATTAAAGAAACATGGCAGACACGTAACAGAACGTAAATCATTGATCTTACCCAGTGGTGCGTATTCCTGGCTGAAAACGTAGAAGCCAGCAGTCTCGAAAGCAACGTCGTATGTAGTTATGATGTTACGATGTGCTGCTAGATGTAATCCGTAATGAAATTCACGAAAAAAATCCGATAGCCCAGTGTACGCTTTTGGTAGTGCTTTCAAGACCATTTCGGTTTGCGTACTGCGATGCTCAGTCAAAAGAATTTTCCCGAACCATCCCTCACCGACGATTTGTAGTATATCGAACTCGTCAATTAAGTTAACCTGAGGTATGAAGAACTTATGATTAATATCGTTAGCGTGGCTCGTATCCAAGTCGAAATGAAATCGGCCATCGTTGGCCGACAATGTGTAAGCAGCAGGTGCAGCCTGCATGATCTTCTTCGATACGAGAAGATCCCCTACCGAAACGATCTCTAAACGATCACTGTGCGTTGAACGCGTGGATCACCATTCGTAGACTCTACTCGTACGAATCGTCTGTCTCTATTTTTAATTCGACGCATGCTAACGTCGGCACCTAACGAACACATCACGTTTTTGTGTCACAAAACGAGGGTTCGTTCTATGGTAAAAATGTCTTAAGGTTTCTTTATTATTTCTCTTTTTTTGTTTATTTATTTGATTAACTAAAGGGAAAATCGTTTAATGAAAAATTTGGCATTGTTTTAGCGCTAAAACAATTATACTATTATATTATTATTTTTTGTAAGATTTGATCGATCGTTAAATAAAATTCGTAATAAATTATACTTTTAATAATGAAGTCGTCTATGAAACAAACGTAATTAATGTTTTATCATTTAGATTGATAATAAATTGTGAAAAATTCTATACAACGTTAACATTAGTACCAAACGTGTGATCACGTGGCACGTGTTACGCAAGTCGTTTACAAATACAATTACGTATTCTCAGTTCAATGTCTTGAATGTGAACACGATGAACATAAAACTGACACGATTCAAGAATCTGTCTCAACTATATCTACATTAAATCATTATGATATATAGAGATTATCGCGTGGCGTCATCTTTCCGAAATCGTCAAGTAGCAATGTTATTAAGAAAGGAAACTGGTTTAATGCCAGGAACAAGGAGATTGCTCGTAATTTCGACAAATGTAAGTAAGTATTGTTAAGTCTTGCTCGCTATTTCGGGATCTCAAAGAGTCGACTCGCTGGAAAATCCGTATGGCATAGTTAATTATCTAAATGATTACTAATGTGCGTACCTTTTAATTTTTCCAATAAATGATTAATTAATTTTACCTTTTCCAGCTCGAATTCTCGTACCCTGTGAATCGATCCACCCATAGCCTTCTTCATTAAATTCATCCTGTTTAATAATTTAGGGTAATGCTTGTCAATATAAAATTGATGAACTTATATACACTTTTATTATAAATATTAAATGCACTATATAAATATCACATTTAATCATTTCTATATATTACAATATTTTTATTGAAAACTCAACGATAATCGTACTTGCACTTATAGAAATGGTTCCGCCGTTGATGATTAAATGAACTTTATTGTCACGTAACCAACGTTCGCCAAACCAAACCAATGAAAAGCTATTAACGTCCTAGCTAATTTATCAGGACATATCAATTACATTTCACGTTATTTTATCTTCTTATAAGAGTATAAATTAAGCTCTCACGTTATAATATTATATATAATAAGAAAAATCATGGGAAAATAAAATGTACGATATATATTTTAAAGAAATTTTACGTATTTCTTTATATCAATCGGTAAAAGCAAAGAAAAAAGTAAAATAAAACAACTTTTAACGATCAGGGTGAACTTGTAAGTTCCACTAACTTCACAACGGGCCTCCCAGTGTTCGGTGCACTCTTTGCCTGTCTGCAGTATTTATAAAACACCGACCGGAAAGCAACTGGCGAGCTGATTTTGGCGCCGAGCCGGCTTACCCGTGCGCCGACGCCTCATCTTTAACACTTCTTCGTCGGCGTCTCTTCAAAAACGACTTCCTAAGTCGTAACGAATCATCACGGTACGTTAACGTTAGCGAACGTTTAACTTACGAAAAATACGCGCTGCCAGAAATGACATTTGATTCATTGTTCGCATTGTATTTGGTTTTGTAAAACACTGTTCTCGAAGTTTCCCTTGTTTCGGACAAAAAAAAAAACAAAGAAAAAAATAGACATTTAATTTAATTTTCATTACGTTTTATTCCACCTAGATAGTGATTTGTATTTTAATATTTCCTGAAAAAGTGTTTTATAAAAAAAGAAAGAGAGAGAAAGGGTTGGCCGATAATTTCATTTCAAATGTGTTTATTATTCCGTTCCACTGTCTTATTACAAATAGAAACCGTCGTTGTGCTTCGTACGTGCCCAGATTTCGATGCATTTCAAGGAATCGATTAATTTATTATAAAAGGCTTTACACAAGAAAACACTGACACAAAACAGATCGTAGTACAGTCGTGTTATTTAATGCGAGACGCATTAACATATTCCTTACGAACATACAAATAACCGTTTGTTTTTTTTTCTTATATCGGCTGCAATATTACGGTACGTCGCACATTCGATTCATACGAACCTTATTTGTTTTTTTATTTTTTAATATTTTTTTTCTTTTTTCAACTTCTTTTTTTTATTTTCTTTAGATCTCGCGCGTATATCGTACATTTGAGCTCTATAAGGAACATGCTAATAAATATTATGGTAAAAGTGGAGGATTCATGCTCGATTACACACCAAGAATAGGAGTTGTAATGAGTTGAGAATGACTCTCGATTTTATTCTTCGAAGATCGTTCTGATTAATAAACGAACATGTGAATATAATTATATTAGCAATGATTCTGTCCCGTTAAGAAAATATTACATGCTGATGTGTAAAAGTATTGACTTTGGTATTTTATTGGTGATGACTCTAAAACGAGACATTTTTGTCTTGATATTTTTGCACATGCAGGAAATTCGTATCATTGATATATACCTTTGGTAAGTACTTTAAATACGACAAGCACTTTGTATAGTCATTTTTATCCAACATTCAATGAAGTATCAGACGAATTTAATTAACTTCGATTAATTGAAACGATTTCTTTTTTTTTTTTTATAATCAGTCTCGACGGTTGTATAATTTTACCAAATATTTGAAATACATGCACGAGTAATTGTCAAATGAAAACATATTCATTTGTATGATATTCATACATCTACGAGACTAATTTTCCCCTTCCTCTTTAAACATGATTTCAATTAAAAGTCATTACCAAATTATTACGATTCAATACTTTTGCACGTTATAATATAATAGTATACCGGTTTTTCTTGTCGAGTGTGCTTTAAAAAACCGATGTATTGTGATACTCTCGCAGTTGTTAGCAGAAAAATTCGTGAATGTTGTTGTTCGATTGATTATTGATCGGTTTTAAATCGAATTTTAGAAACAAGCGTGTGTTTCATCTATTATTATTATTATTTCTTTTACTTCTTCTTCTTATTTTTTTTTTTGTTTTTCCTCCTCTATATCATAGATTTTTCTTTTCTCGCGATCGTCGATCGCATTTTGTGCTCTACAAAGTGACCGCGAGAAGTGACTAGTTATATTCTACATATAATGTCGTATCATATATTTATATATACACAGCTACCGAATAACATATATAGTTTTTTATGATTTGTCCCTTAATTGTCGATTCGTTTATGATACAAGTAATTTCTAAATCGTTGTACATCGTTACGTTTTTTACCAGTCCCGTTCTATACGAAATTTAATTACATTCTTTCGATTTAACTTATCCACTTCTTTTTTATTTTCTCATCGATTTTTTTGCTACCAATTAAAGTTATATTACACATATATACACACGCACACGTATACATGTGCATATGTATATCCGTGCACGTGTATTATAAATAATTATATATATATATATATATATATATATTTATATAAGTGTGTGACCATTTTCAGAAGTTATGATTTTCCCACGTGGCATCGTTTTTTTTTTCATACCTGTACTCGATTAATTCAATGGATGTATATATTATGGTCTATAAAAAATAAGGAAAAAAAAAAAACGATATTCTTCCAGTATACACTTGAAACAAGATCACAGGTTGATAGGATGGTTAAGATCATGTCACAGTAAAACCACGAAATAAAACCATAACTTTTGATTTTAATCACATTACCCTCCGACGATCTCATTTAAACCAGTCTAATTTAAACCGACACTCGCGTCGCACTTATTTCATTGTTTCTAAGTTTATTTTTCTTCTCTTCCACCCCCTCCAACCCTCTTGTTCTTCTTCTTCTTACTCCTCTTTGTTTTTTGTTTTGTTCTTTAATAAGTCGAAAACGACCCGTTTAGTATTTACAGAGATTAGATACAAAATTATAAACAGTTTTTAGTACAAAATAATTTTATGACTATAACGATTAAGGTTTTCTTTCCTTCCCTTCTTTTTTGTTCTCCCCTTTTTTAAATAGCATTGTAAGAACGGACACGGGCACGGTGTTTCCTTTTCTTATTCACCATATTCCTTTCTTTTTCTATTTTCTCAAATATTATCTTTCCGCTATTGCATCTCATTTCTTTATTTCATTCTTTTTTCGTCGACATGGAAATAATATTCCACGTCTAAGAAGTTATAACGTTGTGAGGCAAATAAAACAAATGTTTTAACTTTTGCCCGCGTCCGGTACAGAAGATACAACTCAGGTGAGCTCTTTTTTTTTTACAGTCTTCCCAATTAATTATTTACTCCGTTATCTTTTTTTCTAAAGATTCCATTCAATTCCACAATAGACCGGCAAATACGATGCTTTTTAAATGAAGCGCTTTCTTTTTTTTTCATTTTGAAAAAGAAGGAATTCAATTCGGTTCATCTTAAATTCAATAGTCGCTTATTTTCTTCATTTTTTACAAATTTCAACTGACTTAGCACAAGAGAAGTGTACGTATTTTTAAAAAGAAAAATAATAATAATAATAATAATATAATAATTTACACAAACACAGAGCAAAAATGTGTATTTCAAAGAGAGGCGAAACAAGGGACCTTGATTTTTCTTTCTCTTTTTTTTTCTTTTCGTTTTTCTTTTGGATGAATAATTAATTACACACGTTAACACTTATTCTCATTAATGACCTTTTTTTTTTCCTCAGACACGTAGCGATCTCACACGTTAGCTAACGACTTTGACAGAGCTCTATTTCGCAACGAACTTAAAAATTATTATTCGATATAATTGGCGGAGAAGGCGCATATTATTAGGTAGAATAGTCATCTCGATTTAATTTTTATTCAGGTAAGAAAGGATTACGTTTTTTTTTTCTTCTTTTTTTTTTTAATTCAAATTCGTAATCGATACTCTGATACAAATCAAAAACTAACGAAAAGTTTTGTTTTGTTTTGTTTGTTGTTGTTTTACGAAATAATAATGCTAAGCTCGAAAAATGTAATCCTTTCGTTTCTGATAATCTCATCGAGCTAGTTAGGTACAGGTAGATACGAAGAGATATACTGAATTATCACATGAGTAGACAAGTGAGTTACTCTTTAGCAGTAGGGGCAACGATATAGCCAAAGGCAGCATTATTTTTATATCAATGTAATTCGAGCGCAACTATTATTCATATTTTATTTAGGTTTATTATTAAAATCAAATCTCGTGTGTCTATCCGTTCGTTTTATTTTTTACATAGAAAATTAATTGAATTTAATAGACCAAGTAAGAATTTCGTTTTAAGATGATAAAGATATTGCAGTATTGCAACAAATTAATTCAATCATGTTTGATTATTAATTTTAGGTAAAGACATACATACAGATAGACACTAATTTCATTTAATTTCGCATAAATATACGAGAGAATTATTCGATTTTAGTCACGCTCGAATTGAACATATTCGAAAAACGTATATGACTAATTTTCTGACTATCTACTTCCTTAAATGGCATTAGATTAATTTATATAAATAGTATTTTTAACGTTTTAACGGTAACATCGCCTATACGTTAAGATTACGCGTTACTATCACGTTTCACAATGTTGTTCATTTCTTTATTTCTGCATCACCAATAAAGCATTAAGAAGAAAGAATGATACAGCATTATGAAAGACAACAGCGTATTTTTCGTAGTAATCTAATATCTTTCATATACATATACAATGGAACTTAATTGATTGAATTGTTTCGTTGAACTCTTTCGTTCCCATATTTCATTTTCGTCAAAGTGATTATGCACGTTACGTAGATATTTATATATACACTTGTATAATATAATCCGATTTTTTTTTTTTTTTGTTATCTATTGCTTTTCGATTTCCCATGCTTCCTTACATCTTATTAAATTTAATTCATTCGTTGAAATAAGCACGAAGGAACACAGCACGATATGTTGTAACATTTGCGAAAATGATATTTTCCAAAAAGCTTCGTTCGTTCTATCGTTCGTTAACAATTTAATAAGTTAGCTGTAATTGACGTGTATACTCGTCATGCAGAAATGTTAATATTTTATGTTATCGTTTCATTCTATTATATATGACACAATTTAGGTAGACACTTTTTAAAGAGGTCACCGCACAGCTAATTGGTTAAATAATAAATGGTAACTACATTTTTATCTGCTTAAACAGAAAATATTGTCATTTTATTACAACGTATATACTCGTCAATTCGCAATGAACTGGTTAACAAGATTTTCCCTTAAATAATTTTAGAAGATTGCCCAAAAGAAATTGTGCGATATATTCACAAAAGAAATAATCATAGTTTATTATTATGTATATTAAAACGTATTCCTATGCACGATATATTTATACTAGTATCATTGATCCCGCCTAGCATATAGAATTTCCTTCTTCTATTTTAAATAACGTATCTGTTGTGTCGTTATATTATTATTTCGATATATTGCCGTTAGTCGAACATATGCTAATTTCAATTTATGCAATTTTTTGTTATCTTTACTTTTCGTTCGATGATTCATTTAGTTTTATCAATAGCGATGTTCATTACAAGAATGGTAAAACGTTATCGAATTTCAATTCTTAGCATTGTTTAAAATTCCTCGTGTTCGACTATCAAGTGACATGAATGAATAAGATTCGAAAAAATGTTACACATTAAAAATTAAGTTCAATAATCACCGATAAATTTAGTCGCGTATTTATTTTTTGTTTGGTTAAATTAATATTTGAAAACATAGTTAAAGAGAAAGTATATTCATGTCGCTTGGCATACATTTGATTCTATAAAATTTGCTTATCATCATTATGTATATATATCTATATATATATATACATGCAGACTTGTCGAAAAGAGGTTTAGTTTTTTAATTATTTTATATTATATCGAAGAGAAGTAGATCATTACACGCATACTTATATTATTATTAATGCAATCTCCATCGTACAGATTACACACACACACACGCACACACACAAACATACATAATACACATCATTTCGCGATCTTCGATTAGTTAGCAACGATAGTCACAGCGTTTATATTGTTATAATATAATATATTGCCATTATGGTCGATGTAATTATTAATTAAATAGAGAAAAAGATAGAAAGAAAGAAACAAACCAACTAACAAACAAACAACCAACCAAGCGAACAAACAAACAAACAATCGCTCTTAATCGTTATTTTAAATCGATTAAAAGTTACGAGAGCAATTGTGTGTTGAATTTATCGATCGTATGATCTAAATCGATATCAATGAAATAATTATTCAATGGCATAGGTACGTACTCGTCTATGCAGGAATGTTCACAGCGGTATTTAATAGCTAATTTTACATTGTATTGTTCTTAAATGTTTACATTACGAAGAATCTTGATTAGTTTCCTCACGAAATTTATATCATTACCTTTATTCAGTTTCATTATCTTTTTCATTTTTATTTTTTTATTTATTTATTTAATTATTTATTTATTTATTTATTTAATTTTTTTTTTTCGTTTTGTTTTCTTTTTCATTTAATCTTAAGTTTATTACATCAGAGGCGTATATCGCCGTTCTATCGTTCAGTCGTATAAACGCAGTAGCCTTTTTTTTTTATTAAACAGTTTAATAAGAACCACGGCGCACTCATTGGATTGTCGAAGTCACAGTCCAACGTCATATTCTTGTCTCTTAGAAATATTCAAATGTAACGTATCCTCGGCTCTTTTTCTTTTTTTTTCTTTTTCGAAAATAGAATGCAAATGAACGAAAAAATTTGGCGATTCCAATCAAAAGCGGGAATTTCTAGAATTTCATTCTGACTAAGAGAAATGTTCGCGATTTTTAAGCTCTTAACAATTCTCTCGTCAAAAAAAAAAAAAAAAAAAAAAAAGAAAATTATTTACCAATTCGATGAGACATATTATTTTCCTTAGATACGTAATCGTCAAAAATATCTTTCCCCATTTACTTGACCATACCAAAGTTAAATTCCTAATTAATTGGAAGATATTTATTTAATTCATCAGTGTGTAATACGTTAGCGATTGATTTCAAGATATTATCATTGATTAAGAAGATTCCCAAAGGATTTACGTTGTCAAAGGTTCACCGGATAAATCTGTTCCGATGAATGAACCGATGAACAACAAGTAATAGAAGAAAATTCGATGAAATAATCGAATAATCATCGTTCGATTCTCGTAACATCGGAGAATCGTAAATGTTCAGAAAATAAATCATAAACCTCGTTGGTATTGATGGTTCAATATCAAGACGTTGGCGCGTATCCGAGATTTTTCCGTTGTAAGAACAAGGAAATCTCGCGGAAGGTTGGACGTTCGTTTTCCTCCCGACGCCAACATTCTAACATCAGATCGTAAATATCTTTCGAAGAAGCTGTAGGTCTTGGAAGATAATCGAAATGATCGTTTGTTACATCAGTACAACAGCTTTCCGATGCCGAGCCGTCTTCTTCGTTAGCACGATGAAATCTTCTTAGACATTCGACCACTTCCTCGTTCGATAAATGTTCGTAAGGTACTCGCCTTCCTAAATTTAAGATCTCCCAAAGAGTCACAGCGAATGCCCAGACATCGCTCTTTGTCGTATACTTGCCCTTTTAACAAATAAATTCCAATTAGAGTGATCGTTATCAAAAAAACAAAAAAAAGAAAAAAGAAGAAAATATCATTCTCCAACTATCATTCATTACTTACTAAAAATATAGATTCCCAAGCCATCCAACGAACAGGCAAGGGTACAGTTCCATCCACCTTATAATAGTCACAGGCATATAATTCGTTGTCTGTACCGAAATCTGAGATCTTGATATGATAAGCCTTTCCAACCAAGCAATTCCTATTAACAAAAGTATATTAATTAGACTATTATAATCTCTAAATAATGTGATTAGATGCAAATTAAACAATCACTATTATATTTCCAAACTTATGATGGAAATAAAAGTTTTAGTAAAAGAATTTTCATCTGATCTTATATTTGTATATATATATATAGGTATATACAAAATCAATTTCAAGCTCCATTGAAATCTATTTAGAGATAGTTAAGAGACGAACACAAGCAACGTACTCGTGCTGGACAAATGACCGAGCGAACGATAGCCGAGCATCCAACGGTTATTGAATGGAGGGAATCGATTAATTTCGGTAGAACAAAGCACCAATTTAGAGGCAGAACGTCCGGGTAATTAGCTGCGCTTTATCGATCATTGCGATTGGCTGGTTCGCTTCTGATAGTTGTCCACGACTCGTAGCTCGTGTTTGTCAACGATCGTAGTAGGTACTTTCGCGAAAGTAGGAATGATAAGATTAATCCAAAATACATAATACACAAGTCTTATTAAGTGGCCCCTTTTCGTATATTTCGTTGATTAATGTTCATCGTGTCGAGTAATAAATTTCTCTTAGTAATTATTTATACGCGTATACGTACACATATAACAGCTGTTTTGTCAGTACAGGACTGTTATTTATCTACAAATGCTCGTATGATTACATAATGAACAAGTGGTTCATGAGAACTGTGAGAGATGCTCTTCCGAAGTTCAGCAGAGAGGTACTCGTACTTTGCTATGTTATGTGATAGTTGTATTAGATAGATACCTGACTGTTGACTACTTGTAGTACACGGAGAAGCGAGAAGCAAACATTTATTCGGTCTTCTGGAATGGGTATATCAGGAATACATGGTATCAACATAATTCCACGTATCACTGATTTATTGAAATCAAATACTCTCAAATACATCGTACATTTTACATTTGAAATATTTTACACAGACAATTGATACCGAGATAATATATTTCTATTTATTTTTCATATAAAAATAATATAAATAACAAAGTTAGATTTATGCATCGACAGAACATTTATAGTTTGATCTTATAAACTGAAGTAATTTAGATGTCACATTAAACGAGATATAGAAGAGAAAGAGGTTTGTAGGATACCGAAGGAAGGGTGGAAGGAAAGATGCAGAAACATCCTCCTCTTCCTCCTCGGGAGTGTTCACAAAGCCGTAATATCATCGTGAAAGCGGCCCCAGGAAGCGTCTCGTGGTATTCCATTAAGATTTACGAGGGGGTCGTTTGAGAGACACTGCTTCGCAGGAAACTAGGTTCCAGGCCGTTGTGAGAGAGCATCACGCGCTTCTGCTGCATGTGTGTATGCATTACCACTACTTGAACACATTCATGCATTTCTAGCGTATACGTAGAGACCTTTATTGATGCGTAGCCGCGTGTATGCATCTAAACGTTCTATCGATTCGTCGAGATAGGCCACCGCATTTCAATAACAGGAACGTACGAGATAGGTACGTGAGGGTCTTCTACCTTGGCTGATCATCCGCGATCGTACATGAACGAATGCCAACGATCTACGCGAATACTCCTGGATTATTACGGAAGCTATTCATCTCTCGAGATATCTCACTTTAGTTTCACTCCTCTTTCCTTTTTTTCTTTTTCTTTTTTTTTTATCTTGATTCATTATACCGAATAGAGGAAGATATACATACACTCGCGTTGACCTACTGTATATCTTCTCTATACGAAATATTATTTTTCAAAGCAATGCTTTACGGGTTCGATAGTATATAAATGCAAATTTGTATATGTATATATGTAATCAAAGATTTGACTGTGCATTAATTATCCAGGGATATTATTTCTTTTTTTTTTTTAATAATTTTCTTTCTTCTTTGATAATGAATAAAATAATGAGACGCATTTTAACTATTTTTCAATAAAAGTAACAACAATGCGATTATTAAAGATATCTAATTACCTTTCAAAAGAAAATACATGTTCCTTGCGTTTATAACGTAAATACAGGAAACTCTCTGTTATCCGACCCTATTATCTGGCAAGCTTAACTAACTGGTATCTTTCACTACCGATATTCTCCGCTCTTCCAAAGCTATTGTTCATGATTCCCTTCTAACTACGTATAAACTTATCGATATCGATAGCTTTGTAATAATTCAACAGCAAGTAATAATAACAGAGAGAATTGGAACAATGATGATGTTGATAAAGTTTTCGTTATTCATGCAAATGAATTCTGTGTGTGTTTATCCTGATTTGTGATTTGATTCACGTAAGATGATTTTTCTTAATATTATTATCTCTTATGTACATATATACGTATTTATGTATGTATGTATGTGTATATATATAAAATATGAAAGAAAATAGAAAAGTAGAATGTTCCAATGGTTATTCATTAAAACTTATTCACCGTTTACGTGTAAATGAATATTTTGTTAACGTTAACGTAACGTTTCTACTTTTAAACATAAAATCGTTCAATCGGGAGAGTCCTATAAAAGGAAACTAATTTTGCGTTACCATGGAGGGTAAACTTTCAAAACGCGTAGACACGTATTTCCATTTACTAGCAATACGGGAACAACCCTGAAATCTCACACCTCCATGTGTCAAGTAACGATGCCGTTAACGTAATGAGTTACAACTTCTCTTAAGCAGAATTTCACAACGTATAGGAAAATTAACCAAAGTAACCGCATTGTTTCATCTTAATCGTCACCGAGTTTCCAATTGCTCACGCGACATGAAAATATAATTTACGTGCCTGCATACATACATACATACATATATACATACGCGTTTCATGCTTTTATCCGTTCGGTAATTTCAAAATTATTATTTATTAGAAGATTATCCGGTAAAAGCATATACCATACCGTATACCGTCGAGTTCATCAAAAGTAATACAATATTATGAGAGGATTTTTAACTATGACGCATAATATACTTACATACATTTTCGAATCATAAAAATGTAAAATGGGGGAAAAACGTTCGTAAAAAGCAAATTTACTTTTTAATAACGTGAATTTCGAAACGAGGTTATGATTAATGTTTATCCTGTATTACGTAGATACTCTAAACGAATGTTGTCCTAATGTAGAAAATCCAGTAACTAGGGGCTCCTTGATTAAAACACAATTTATTCTGTCGGATGAGTTAGCACGCTCCCATCACGGTGCATAATTAATATAATCAGGAGTATAATCACAGCGTATTCCCGATTCGTTGACATCGAATCAGGGCCAACGAATCGTTGATTTCCCAGGTGGCAGTAGCTCACCGTTTGTTTAGGAATTTATGAAAATGCACGCTCTTCGAAAACGATATAATTTAATTTTCTCGGTGACATGAAGTGATGTGACCGACACGGGCTTTCCACGTGTAAGTGGAAGAAGAAGAAGAAGAAGAAGAAGAAGAAGAAGAAGAAGAAGAAGAAGAAGAAGAAGAAGAAGAAGAAGAAGAAGAGGATGAGTTGGAGGAGGAGGAAAAGGAAGAAGAGAAATCAATGCCGGTAGACAGACCTTTCGTCTCGTTGCTTGGTTAGGAAAGCCCTGCGGAGAAGGAAAAGCCTTCGTTCGCTGTTGAAGACGAGTTTTCGGGATAAAACGCGACAGTTCGGTCTACATAATCCTCTGTTATCCCCACGAGAGAGAAAGAGAAAGAGAGGAAGAGATAGGGGAGATGTGGAGGAGGGGCTGTGGGGGTTAAGAAGGAGGTGAAGGAGTAGGGGAAGTTGCCTACCGAGGGATTCATTCGCAGAAAGTTTCGTTGTACTCACCTAGTAGCCAAATCCCGATGCACGAAGTTGAGGTTCTCGAGATACCGCATGCCCGATGCGATTTGCGCTGCCATATAGATGAGACAGTTGAAACTGAAAGGATAGTAAAGTACATAATGCTGTGAGATCGAATTAATGGAAACTTGATTGTAGATGAGATTGTTTATGGAATTTGTAGTAATTCCGATACAATGTTCAAGCGATTTTTTGTAATTACCTAAGCGTCTTAACACCGATTGGCATGGAATGGGCATCCTCTGCAGTGATATGCGTCTTTAGGAATTGACAGAGGTCCCCGTGTTCCAAATATTCCATCACAACGCAGTAGGGTTCCTCACGGCAGCAAGCACCCAAAACCCTAGCGATATTGCGATCCTCGAGTGCCGCCAAAATCCTCACGTCTCTTTGGAAATCTAGCCTGTTGGATGAAAATATTAATCTTGACAGTTTCGACATGTTTCAATCAAATTTTGCAGATAGGTTGATATATATATTTTATATATATGTATGTATGTATGTATATGTATGTATATATATAAATGTGAATTCGAGGAATGATCTCAATTTGTAACATACGTTGAAATAAAATATTTACGTATGCTAAAGAGTTATAAAGGATCGACGCTTATTCGTATTAGTACGTGAAGTTAAATCAAAAAGGGACATTAATATTCAAAGAGAATAATTGACAGATGAAAGGTTACATTTCAGAGCGGTTTAATTTAATCGAGTTTCTGTTAATAATTTATTACTTAGAGAAGAAGTCTAGACTGTCTGAAAAGATTGAAGCAAATTGTGTTGACTTATTCGCATATTGATGGATCGAACTGTCCCTAATTGATACACGGTGTCATACAACTTAATAAAGGTATTATATTAATAATATTAAATTCACACAAGGGGCGTGTCGAAAATTAGAAGATTTGATCACAATGACGAATGAAAACGGTGGAGAGGGAGGGGGAGGGGGAGGGGTTGAAAACCTGACTCGTGAATTAAATGATAATCTTATAATAATTATTCTTCAAGTATAACGAACAAGCGAATATTTTGGTGTGTATTTTTGAGTTACTTTTCATGAAAATTTGAAGCTTTTGCAAGAGAATAGAGAGAGAGAGAAAGAAAGAGAAAGAGATAGAGAGAGAGAGTAGTAATACCATGGACTTTACCGACGGTGAATGTTGTTCAACGCAGGCTCGTTACTTCGGCTTTACTTACGATCGACTTGGTAATGGCACTCTCGCGTGATAGCTTAATGCGGCCGTTAACAAAACTACAAGGCTGCTGCTATCGATTCGCTATAAAACCGAGAATCCTACCGAGAATGCAACCCCCCCCCCTTCCATCCCGCCCCTCCTCTCTGTTTTCTCCTGTTACCTGCACTATTCGCGTTTTCCTTAAGAATTATGACTACGTTCCTATGAGTTGTGTTCTACGATTGTTTCGCGAAAGACGAAAAATTCTTTGTATCGTTAATAAGATTGATTTATAAAACGATACTTGGTTCATATAGAAAATATTTAAATGTTATACGATGTTGGAAACATGAATTACATAGCACTTAAATGATTTTTTATTCTATTTCATTGATTCGTTATAATATTAAATAATGTATTTATTATTAAACTATCAAAAAATATATATAATATATAATATATATTCTATTTCCTAGTTTTCGATTACAGTGAATGTTTTTGCCTTTCAATTTAACGAGACGATGTTCGATCTCGAAATTCTATAGTAGTTTTTCACATTTTATTAAGATAAACGACTTGGATTCTTGGCAGTTCTCTATACGATCCGAATGTTTCCATCTCTTTAAAAGACGATAAGAAGAAATGGAAGTAAAGGGAAAACAAGGTGAAATAAGTACATGGAGTTTAGGTCTCTCGATGATAGAATATATATGGAAAGGATCGATTAAAAAATAAGAAAAAAACCTACCTATACACGTGCATTGTATATATATATAAAAGTATATTCTGGAGTCTGCATTAGACGATAGGAAGCGTGACGCATAAAACAACCCTCTTATCTATAGTAAACGCGACCTTTGCCAGACCATGACCACTAGAATCGTTGTTAGTTCTGGTTAGTATAAAGGGTGGGGAAGGGTTTGTCAACATTGTTCTTCTTCTTTTTTTTTCTCATTATAATAGCATCGTTTACATTTTAAAAAAACTATCATTTATGGACAAGTATACGTGCATAAATATACTTCAGTGTACAAACGTAAAGTGATAAGGAGAGAAGTAAGAGTAAAACGGACCAATCAGTAAGCTATTCTCAAGGACCAAGAGAATGGTCCAGAGAGTGTGGTAACGAATGGTGTTACATTAGGCTTTAAAGGTACTATGAAAAACGGAAGGTTTTGTCTCCGGGTCTCTCGTGAAAGGGAGAAATGGTGGATCGTTTCGATCCAGGAAGAGAGAGAGAGAGAGAGAGAGAGAGAGAGAGAGAGAAACTACTTCGTGGGAAGGAAATTGAGGTGAGACGATGGGAGGGTTGAAATTGAGAGGGTTGGAGTCACAAGACGCGATACGTTATACCCGACTACGACGACGACGACGGTGGGAAACTTGTTGCGTGAGTTGTCGAAGACAAAGCGTCGGAATGAGCCCGACTATTCGACTTTTCGAAAGTTTATGTTTGATGTATAAGGGTTCTACGAATTTTGTACAGGCTATTTTATTTGATCAGAATTCTAAGCTCTAAGAAGAAGAAGAAGAAGTAAGCGAATTTTATATGAAATTTGTTGATATCTTTAGTATCCATTTAGATAAATCATTAAATAAATGATAGATGAATCTTTTATATAAAATATCATATAATTATTTTTTAAATATCAAATATATATAATCGTATAGATATTAAAAATTCACGCGTTACATTTCTACATTAATCGTAACAGGTTCTGTATAAGTATCTATCCTATAAAGATAAACCCACGGATAGATAGATCTTACTAAGGTAATTCGTCTTTGTCATTGAAAGTATAGAAACGACTGGCAAGGTGGAAATGCTGAGTTGGAATGAACGAGGGGTTAAGAAACGAAGCTTTGTCATTTTGTTAGGAGATTCGGTCGACGAAAGAAGTCCGAGAAGGAAGCCGGCGTGCGACTGTCTGTCGCGATTTTTTTTTTTCTCTTTCTTTCTCATTGAAAAAGAGAGAGACCAAAGTTCCGGTCCACCCTATCTCTCCTTGGTCATTGTATGCAAATCTATTCCATTCGCCGAATCGAAAGTGGCGTTTTCTTTTTTTTTTTTTCTGATGTCCAAACGCGATAGTCGCGGGAACGGCTCGGCTCGGTTCTCGTCTTCGGGAGGAGGCTGGGCCCTCTCTTATCTGGTAGATTTTTTTGCCAACGTTTCTTGATCGCACACCGTGGGGTTCCTTTCTATGAACAAACGGACGACGACGTGTCCGTTGATGCGTGGCTCGGACTGTTATACCTCTGGCCAAGAATATTTTTGGGAAGGTGAACGAGAGATTGGTTAACATGAAAAAAACCAACGAGGTTTTATACTTTATTGAACCTCTAAGTATGGCTTATAGACGTGCCGAACGATGTCAATCGATTTTTATATTCTTATACATAAATCCGACTCAGATATTATATTCTATCTAAACGATATGAATAAAATTATATAAAAATCAATATATCCAAATAAAAACAATTGTTTTGTTTGAGCTAATTTCAAAGTAAAATTATTTTATTAGGTTGCTCTTTCTTCATTAACCATTAATTCTATTACTAATATTCAAATAAGATCTTAAGAAGTTTCTTCAAAAAATAAGCTTCTTTTTGTCTATACTTTATATTACCGTGGATCAATACAACACTCCAAACATGATATGAAATCGTGAGTGGAAAACCGGTGGAACGAGTATAAAGTTTATCGGTTTAACAAAAGGATGAGAATCTAAAAGAATAAAATGAGAGGGGTAGGTTTGGAATGGGGGATGGGGGGAGGGATTGAAGAGAGAGAATTCGATCGAGCGTATGCCATAACACGAGAGAATGCAAATTTCGAGATTCCAGGTAAAACTGCATGTGTGCATAATCATGTGAACATGCGACTTACGCGTGTGTTTGTGTTCGTGTGTACATGTTTGTGTGCTCGTATACTCACTTTTCCTTCTCGCTGGCTTCCGGTAATAAAAACTTGACGGCGACGAAACGCTTGCCGAGGGTGGTCGTTGTTCCGTACTCAGGAATCCCTTCGGCTTCAGCTACGTATACCTTTAGAAGAAAGATTTCTATTTTTTTTTTTCCTTTCTCTATCTATCCATCTATCTATCTATCTATCTCTCATTCTCTCTCTCTCACACACCCACACTCACTTTTTCACTCTTTACTTCTTACATTTCCTTTTTTCTTCGTTAGACAAATCGTTTTACTTAAAAATATGAAGGGGAAAAGCTGAGAGATGAATCGTATCGAATTCGACGCGCATTTTAAAATTATTGCCGCGGTGGTCGTCCCTTTTATATTGTTCGTTCGCTGTGTGTTAGAAGAAGGGGGTGGGGAGGGGGGTAAAAGAAAAAAGAAAGAAAGAAAGAAGAAAGGAAATGCTTTCGAGTTGATACATGTTTCGCGAGTTCATTGAATTCTTTCAAGACTTTTCAATCTGATGGCGTCTGGTAGTATTTCTTTGAAATTGTCGACGCGTGTTTTAAACCACCACCAGCTCCCCCCCCCCACCCTTCACCCCCTCTACCCTATCGACCGTACAGATTTGATGCATCCATCTCTCGTTTTGATATACGTTTGATATTCTCGTGTTTAAATTTTGTCGATAGTGCGCGTCCTTTGATCGCACCCCTGTACGAAAGAATAATTGTTTTTTCTCGCTATTGTGTTATGATTTTTTATCAACACTTAATCGTTAAAATTGACGACCGAAACAAACAATATATATATCAATTAAGTAATTTTCTTTTGTTTGAATTTTTGTTAACTCTCTTCTCTCTTTTCGGGCATACTAAAAAATAAATCATCGGCAAGTGGGGATCGTTGTATTTTCGCAAACTCGACGATGCGGTGGTACTTTCGAAAGGAGGAGGGTGTCGAAACCGGTGACTTCGGTCTAGCCGGTCATTAACGCTACCCGATTCGTACACCAAGGGGTTGAGGACAAAAGGGAATTATTAGCCGCGCTAACACATTCTAAATTGATCATACTCGATGAGTCTCGGCCGACGAGGTTGCATTGTATTCAGGAAGAATAATACTGCGCTTCGTTAATCGACGTATTGTTGCGTGCCTTGAAGCTCCCGTTGCTAAATGATTGCGCGAGCACAAGCGAATGGACTTTGGTTTGAGAAGTTGCTTTGCGCGTTTCTCTCTTAACAAACGGATTGATTTCCTGATCATCATCGACCCGATAGGAAGTGCCGTCATTTCGTAAATTGTGGATAAATTGGGAACACTTTGTCGTGCCATTCATTCATAGCCATATTCGTTCGTTCGTTCGTTTGTTCTGTTATGTTCTGTTCTGTTCTGATAGTCGAACAAATGTCAAAGACGACGACCTGTCGTATTTGAACCTGTCAAAAGGATTAATATTATTTTTAAATGAATTTGTCGAGCGCGTACCTCTTTATTCATTGTTAAATTCAATTAAATCATTTTTTCTCTGTATCATTTGGATATCTTTGTTTCTTTTGTTATTTAATTTAATAAATTGATCTATATATGTTTTTTTGTTTATTTTCTTTTTTGGCTAATTATAAAAAAAAATTAATATGCTTACCGTTCCGAATGCACCTTCTGCGAGTTTGGAAAGCATGCGAAGCCGATGTCGTGGGAAGAGGGGAACGCTTGTTTGCTCGAGACGTCTTTTCAAGGCCGACAGTACCTCCTGTTGTGTTGGTGACTGCAACACCGAAGAAAGATCTATTGTGCTGTTGTAACCCATTGATAATCGACGATAGACGATCACGCTACGTTGGTAAAACACGAAATGGGTACACGATAGATTGTTCTGATGTATTTGATCTATCGTTTCTCCTACTGTATCATTATATCTTGTCGTGTTTATATTATATTACATATATAGATCATTAATAAATCAATTGATAAATGATTTGAAATGATTTCTAGTGCGAGGTGGAGGATAAAGAGAAAAGCAAAAAGAAAAAAGAAAAAAAAAGAAAAAGGATCAATGAAAAATAAAACAGGAAAAAGGTTTTGTCAAAAAACGTGCGAGGAGTATAGAGAAGGGCAGTTAGGGATAGGATGAATTAATCGAGGATCCGTTGATTGGCATTGCTACCGATGCGTCAAGGGCAGAGAATCAACGGGGGTGGTAGGGTGAAATGTTTTGACTGTTTCGAGTGGTACTGTCGTATGTCAATCACGAACAGACGGGTACCGACATAGACATGAGCACTTTCGGATTTGGATCGTCCTAGCCGGAGTATTGTATTCGGATCAATCTCAATCCGAAACTATACATATCCGATACGGAGAATACCATTCAGTCTACGAGAGTGAACACTAGCATACTAGTTCACCGTTTCTTTATCTGGAAGACTAGGGAAACACGGCGAAAGGAATCGTTTGTTGACTGGGAATGCATTCATGCTGATAAATGCAGGAACACACGTGGATTGGTAACGTCTATTGAAGTGGAAGAAATCGCTTAGTTAGGTTTCATAAATATGTTTCACATTGGTAACTTTTAAATAATAAATTAATCTAAAATCAAAATGTGTGTGTGAAAAATATTTTCAATAGTATTTTGAGTATATATATATAGTGCCGGAAATGGAACTTATAATTGGCAACACACTCTACTCTCGATGTAATAATATTTTTGGTCGTTTCTATTTTTTCGTTATTTCCAAATGTTTTATCCATTTTACAGTTGAACAGTCAAGTAGTTTTCGCGTTGTATCGAAATTCCGGATACGAGGTAGACCTCAGTGTACCCGTGGGACGAGAACCAATCTACCCCAAAAACATTTCAATCTCTTACCAGAATCTAGTGATTTAAATAATTAATTTCAATTTTTTTTTTCTCCCTCGGCCAGACCGAGGCCGTTTTCAATGAAAGGACTCCACCTTTATATAACCCAGGTATGTACTAAAATATTGACACGAAATTTCTTTTCAGAGAAGTATATATATGAAAAAAAAAATCAATTTAAATGATTAATTTGAATTGAAATAATTTCACTAGGGGAGGGGTTAAATCTCCAAATCAATTTCTACGAGTTTAATCAAAATATGTTATAATACTAGACCTATTGTCTCATCGTTGCAGGAACAGATATGACCAAGAAATCAAAGTAACAAGACCATGATTAATCTAAATTGAAACTGACCTTCTTGTCCTCGGTCTTTGCGCTGTGAGAAGAATTCTTAGAGAAGAGACTCTCCTTGTCACTGGTCGTACTGGATACAGTAGTGGTCCTAGGGCATCCTCCGGTTCCTTCTTGGTTGAGGAGAGGTACCGTGCCGAGTTCCGGTACCGCATAATCGTATGATGTGTCAACTGCACCGTTCGCGTACACTGCTGTGGATGATATAGCAAAGGAGAAGAGGATGTAGAAGGGGTATGGTGTATTGATTGCGGTTAGGGAAATGCTTTGTACGTTGATACGCGTATTTGTGCATGTTAGTGTACCATCAGCAAAAGCTAGTCATATGTTCTAGGAGTAGATGTAAGCGAATGTCCATGAATGTATCGGCACGGTAACGTTCGAACGGCGCATACCTGAGTGATTGATGTTGGTGCCCTTGTTGTTCAGCATCATGTCTTTCATCTCCATAACGACGGTGCTGTAGCTGTAGTATGGAGCATACTTCAACGCTTGGTAGGGTTCCTGATAGTCATCGAGCTTGGCGATATCCAGGAGACGATTGCCCAGGTCACGTGGTAGGGTAGGCAAAGAACCCCCGGCGTATCTATCAAAACGACAACAACAAAAAAACGATCTTTGACTAATTGCAGGTCCTTCCCGAGTTAGCAGTAGCTTTCACTGTTAATGAGATAATCATTTAAAAGAACGTCTAAAAGTCGATCATCCTTATGACAAGATTATTAATGTTAGGTTCTATGATAAAATCAAGAACTTTTATAATGACTAAATTATACTTTGATCGATAGATTGAAGTAGTATATACCTTTCGTCGTCTTCCAAAGTATAAGCCATCAGTGCTGCTCCCTTTTCTACGGTGGCACAGGTCGAACCCAAATGAGATGGAGCTTTTCCAGTCATAGGACTGGCAAAACATTTCCGTTGTCTGTGTCTCGAAACGATCAGAAATATTGCCACGGCAAGGAGCAATATTACAGCCATCAATACTCCAATTACTATTGCCATGTAAGTCGGATCATCGTGTTTCGCGGTTGAGACAGGTAATTCACCGTCAATGCCCGATCCATTTTTTTCAACAAAAACGTCACTTTGAATTGGCGATTCCGTCGTAGGTGCTTCCTCGGTCGTGAAATTACCATGTGCTATGTCTTGAAAGGAAAAAAATAAACAAGTTTTATAAAAGATATTATATAATATTTTCACATTATAATTTTATTCTTAACGTTACGAAATAACGATCGAGATAACAAATATACCAACGGTTATTGGTTAAACTTTAATTAACGTATAAAAATAATTAACTAAGATTATATTCAAAAAAATAGAATGCGTGTTTAGAAACAGCAAATGAAAAAAAAGGAAAAACCTACGCTACGGAACTTTAGTCCGCGCATTATAATCGCACGAATGCACGTGACGACACGAAAAAAGAAAAAAAAAAAAAAAAAGAACAAAAAGTGTCGTTTCCTACTCCGGGACTCTTTCTTTTGCGTCCTTCAAAGAGAAGTAATCGTGCGTGAGGCGCTCACGAGGATGGTCCTTTGAAAGATAAGCATCGGACTAGGATAGCGAGTGTTGGAAAGGAAAAAAAAATGTAAAAAAAGAACGACACAACAAAAAGGAAAATAAATAGAAAAATAAAGCGAAGAGCTATTAATGCCGGACTCGGCATCTTATACCGCGAAAGCATTTTTTTTTGCTCCGTGCATGTGGAGCGTAAAATCAACCTATTTGTGCTATGATGCATCATCGATAATCCAAGAAAAGCGATAAAGAAATAGCAATGTGACGTTGTAGGGTTCGTATTTACATAACCCTTATAAAATGTTTTTCCTATTTCTCTATCCGTAAAACAATGTTATTTTTCCAGAAAGAAATTTCGTTATTTTTCGTGAAGCGTTGATATCACAAATAAATTCAGTATCAACTATTAAGAGAAATATATATTATTTCTAAACTATTGTAATCCCTTTTTAACGAATGATCGTTTACAGTTGAAATTTCAACGGGCATTGTGTTAAACAGTTCGAACGAAGAAACAAACTGGCACGAGGAATGGTAAAGTGGGAAGACAACATATATAAATGTATCCAAGAGTCAACGAGAGAAAGAGAAAACTAACGATGGTGGTAAAAGAGGAGGGGCAGGGAGGTAAGGGGAGAGGATAGCAGAGGAGGAAGGTCGAGAAGCGAACGAACGAACGAACGAACGAAGCTTTTCTTCGTGGCAGGTCGCGTGCGGTATTCCGTGAATTCCCGACAGGATTATCCCGGGCGAAACAAAGCTGTCATCGCGTTTGATATCGGTTTTTACGTGTCCTGTTTCTCCTACGTCATCCTTTTGCTTAGCCAGCGTTAGTGAGAGCAACAAGCCCGAACCATACTTTATTTTTCTCTCTTTTGCGAATCTCCCGCATGAAATTCGATATTAAACATTCTTTATACATGGAAGATATAAACTACAAAGGAGTATACCGACCTCCATATTGTTTCTTTCTTTATTGGGGTGTCAGGTGTTTAAGCGACAAACGAATGGTAACTAAAACGACGAAAGATAAAATTCATTTTCAAATGGTTAATTTCAACGCGACTAAAGATATACAAAATTTATTCATTTTCATTACTTTTTTTTTCTCTTTCTCTTTCACAATAAGTCTCTATATTAAATCAAATATTTTATTAATTTATCTGTGCATAAATATCGAAACATTTCTTTTTCATTCAATCAGTAATGTGATATATATCTCTTAGAATTTGAAGTTGAAAAGTAAGATCAATAGGAGCAACGATGACAGAGACATAATTACGCGTTCGCGTACAGTTATTTGAATTATAAACCATCACTCACTTCGTAGGATGCAACTGGATGCCTTTCTTCATTTCCGCGAGGAGATCTAAGCGGTTCAAAAACAAAAAAGGAAGAGTAGAGGAAAAAGATGATGGCAAAAAAAAAGTGTAAGCAAGGGCTTTCGTCGCTCGCGTGTGAGAACGACTTGAACGGCGTTTAAGCGAAGAGCCTTTACGACGAGAGCTATGAATTACTAATCTAAGATGTGTTGGTATCCTCCTGTATACAGGGTGTCTCGTTATTCTCAACATTTCATTTAAATACTTTTCCTTTGAAGAAGATCGAATTAATCGGACAAATGTGTGTAAAAATTCGATTAAGATGATCACGCGTCAAGAAAAATTCAATAATAAAAATGAACTGGAAAATCCAAAAAAAAGAAAAGAAAAGAAAAGAAAATGTGTAGACACAAAAAAAAACAAGCACACATCCAATTAGAATCCAACTTAAGAGTACATTTAATGAGAATTCACCGAGTACGTTAACGCGCGCGCGCGTAAGACTTTATTTACTCGTTCAAAGCTCGAGCCAGGATATCATCTTGCAAAGAAGAGACTTATGCGATGCCTAAGACGCTCTGAATATAGTTTTATGAGTAGGAAAGTAAAATGGCTTGGGTGCGCGCGCGTGCGTATGTATGTGTGTGTGCATATGAATGCATGCATGTGCAGCTGACGCTCAATGTCAAACGCAACTAATGCGCTCCTTGATCTCGCGGCCCGTGTCGCGAGCACAGTTCTCTTCTCGCCAATTTTAAAGCTCTTTGATTTACCGTACGGTATGGAAATGCGGTACCATCAAACCCCACCCCCCCCTTCCTCACCGACCCCTTCCCATTTTTTGCCACCCTCCCTTCTCTTCGTCCCCGTCCTCGTCACCGTCATCGTACCTTCTCAACCACCGTTGCTACCTGTTTTTTCTTCCATCCCTTGGTCGGATGATCATCCAACCGAAAACCTACGCTTCCGGCAAAGAATTCGTGGAATTCACGGGAATAGTATGTGATCTTCTTTTGCTAAACGTCACTTGGACACGATATCTTGAATATTTAAAGAACGGAAGGAACCATTCCCAACGGTGAAATATTTTTGCGTGATGCGAGACGATTTCGGATGAGACGACGGAGAATAGAGGAAATATTTCCTATTTCATGAAAGTTACTTGGTCGAGGGAGAACAAGAGGATATCTTTTTTACAAAAGAAAAATAAGAAAAAACAGGAGGGGGAGGCCCAGAGAAATCTTTACCGTTTTTCACGAGTCACAGTACGGCACGAACGAAATTCCAACATGTTTTAATATTAGGAGACCCTTTTTAATGGAAATAATATATAGTATGCCTATGGAATATAACGCGAACAAAACGATTAAATAATAATTTTTCAATAGGAATTTATATAATTTATTTTAAAAGGATATAAATTTTGTCGACATCACCGTGTGGTATTCAATCGTAGTTGACGAGATACCGGATGTTACTAAATCGTTTTTAATCTTATTTTCAAAAATGTTGGTAATAAAGGACAGAAATATTCGCCGGATTCCTCGTCATTCGAGACTTGTTCTTTTTTTCTTTTTTTTTTTATAATCTCGATGTGCCGAGTTATTCATTGGACTTTCCGCGATGTACACCGTCCGTCTCGTTTCTCGACGCTAAAGGAATTTCAACCTTCTTCTTCTTCCTGTTCTTCCACCCTATTCTTTTCCACCCTTATTCAACTCTACTCGTTCATTATTTACAGACATCGGGTACAGAGGACGGTCATATTTGTAGGGTACGTCGTTAAAGGAAGACTCATTTTTCTTCAATACGTCCGTTGCTTCATTTTTCTACTATATCAACCTCCCACCCGTTATATATACTCGCCACAATATCATTGGTTGAAACGAACGTACGAACGAACGAACGAAGGGTGCCGGCTGTTCGATCATGAATTTCACGCGTAACGCGCAAAAGAGATCCCTATGAAATTATCCCTGTCTGGATTGAGAGTGTGCAGGGGAGTATTGCGAAGGATGTTTAGAGGAAGAAAAAAAAGGGTTGATAGCGATCCTATAGAAAGGGTAAAGAAAGAGTATAGGGAAAGTCGTTCGGTATAAAGTAAGCCGTGATACGTCATCAACAACAATCTCCTTTAAGCACGACAATGTTCTCTTTATCTTTATGTTTTTTTTTGTCAGTTTTTCTTTCTTTCTTCTCGACGTTTAATCCACTGTTTGTTTTAACACGGAAACTCACATTTCGTATTTCGTTTCACTCATCGTTGAACTTTTTCTTGTATTATTTCTGTACTTAACGATTCTAAAAAAAGAAAGAAAAAGAAAACAGATCGATTTAAATTATTAGATACGTTATAAATACGAGTCAACACATATAGTGAACGTGTTAAAAAATAACTCGGTTAAAATTCACGTATACTTTGTTTTTTTTTTTTTCTCCAGATAGAAGATATTCGTAAACATGACATTATGTAAAATACATTTTCCAATGCTTAATGGCGTGTCAATTCGTCGATGCCGAGCTTGAACATTACATTTGATACATTGAAGAAAGGCGTCTAGCTTCTAGATGAGTCTTTTGCGAAATAGAAAAAGGTAACGTGAGTGGAGTCAGAGCGTTATTAGCAACCCACCATCGCAGCATGAAGTTCACTCTCTTGACTCGTTTGCTAGTACTTTCCTTCTTCTTTTTTCTTTCTTTTTTTTTTCCTTCTCGTCTTGTCTATGTCATCTCAAAAAGCATTCTATATATTTCACCGAAGTACTTTGCCATCTTTTTGCTTGTACGTGCTTGTACGAAACGAATATAACGTGAATATGAATGTGTTTTAAACCATGAGTCTGCATTAATCGGAACGATTCCGACGAAGTGAGCTTTAAGGAATCGTTCGACGATTCTCATTCGACTGTGCGAAAGCTCTTTCGAGAGTTCTTTGTGTTCAGCCTAAGGGTTATTATTCTCCTCGAAGTCTACCGATTTGGACTTACCTTTTGTATTTCTCTATCTGTGTGTGGTGGCTTCATTAATTCCTAGATGAATTTTAAGTACCTTTATCGTAGCTTTTTTTCTTTTTCTTTTCTCTCTCTCTCTCTCTCTCTCTCTCTTTCTAGAATTCACATCTTTTATTATTTTCTTCTTAACAATGTCTTTATCAGGTATATTAAAGGTAATATAAAAATGATTACAATATATATTTCAAATATTACGATAGATTTTTATAAAGTATATCTATTATTTAATTAATTAAGCAACAAGAGAATATTGCAATTTTAATCGATTATTGTTTAATATTGTTCAAAGAATCGTCATATGTGACAGGAACCTAAATGGTCATTTGATTGCTATCATTTTCCCACGCATAATTAACATGTTCAATAATTACGTTCATATCAATAAACGTTTACAAAAAAAGAAAAAAAAAACGAACGAAACTTGATTAGTCAAACAAATAAAATCATTTTTTTCCTATCATAATTAAAACGAAATCGATCGAATTTAAATCTAATTCAATCGATGGAAAATTTTAAACGTGGAACGATCTTAATATGTTTATGATAAATCGATTCTGAAATAGTCAAGACAATGCGTCTATACGAATAAGATGGTAATTTTCTATTCGATGTATATCCACGATTATAAATCATCTTGCTTTCACATCCATATTGGAAGAACTGGGTGCCTCGATAAACACCGATAAGCTCTTTGTAAGATGCAATTTCCTGACGGAACTACTTTAAATCAGATGGAATTTACTTTCAGTGGAACAGAACGACGGAGAAAGAAAGAAAGAAAGAGAGAGAGAGAGAGAGAGAGAGAGAGAGAGGGAAGGAATAACGGAAGGAATTTTCGAAGACGTACTTCATGATTTTATATCTTTCTTGATAAAGAACCGTACTCGCGTGTAATGCTACCAATACGTTATATCTCTTCCAGGAAACGATCGGGAAAAACGCAAGGAAGGAAAAACACGGATAGAAAAGGAAAAGAAGTTCCTGGAGTGTGCTTTAAATCGAATTGTGAGTGATTTGCGATTTCAAAAGGGAAACATAAAAAAAAAAGTAAAGAAAAGAAAATAAAAAACAAAAAGGTAGCAACGAAACGAGAATGAGATATTGTTCGAAGAAAGTAACGAAGAAAATTGACGCGAGAAGAAAATGTTAATGACAGGTTTTTTGATCGATTTAATAAATATTACGATAACGTATCTTTGAATTTTTTAATTTGTAACAGGACAATAGTATTTACGATAGATCCTCAATTACTCGGTTTTTATCGATTCAAATCGTTTTCGAAAGTTATATTTTTTTTATCGATTGACAGGTCGGTATGCTATTGAGCAAGCACTGATCCAGAAAGGGATGGTTTATAAAGAGGGATACGAATGCGATCCGTTTCTGGCGAATTGAAATAAAATGTCCAGGCTTAAAAGTAAAAAGGAAAGAATAAAAAAAAAATATGTATATACGTAGGTATGTATGTGTGTATATATTTCTCTTTACCCGTTTTGAGTAAAATCCATGCCAGTCAAATGATTTTGCGTCACGAACAGAAAAGTTATTTTGTTTTTTTTTTCTTTTTTTTTTTTTTTTTTTATACAAATGACAGGATCGGCGAGATATTGAAAAGAGAACTTGAACACCTTTTTTTTATTCTGATATAAAAAAAAAAAAAAAATAGAAAAACAAACAGAAGAGAGAACTTACCAGAATCGAAAATCACTTCGCTGATCATGATCCATCTGGCGGAAAAATGGAGTCTCAATTTCACGTACTTCCCGATACGATGGTGAAGCTTGATAGAGACGTTACGAGACGTTTCAAATATTTTGTCCTCCATGTAGGTGTAGGTAATCGGCTCACCGTTGTAATATCGCCCGCCTATACTGAAGAGTATGTCGACTTGTGAGAAGATCTGTGAATAAAAATGAGAACGGTTATGATATAGGGAGATGAAGAAAAAAAAAAAAAATCAATGCACTCAAATCTCGATATAACATATATATAGATATATTTCCTATCTGGGATATACGTTTGCAGAAAAAATAGTGATAACGTAGTAGGAAATGTAAAAATAGTAAAAATTGGGTATTCTGAGTAACCTGTTTCGTTCGTGAAAATAAATCGGAAACAATGTGCAAACGATTTGAATATATTCCTTCGTTCAACACGACACGACGATTAACAATGAAGATTTGATTTTATATAAAAGAAGTAAACGATTAATATTTCAAACAAATATTGATTTTAGTCAATAAAATAAATATATTTTTTTTACTTGATATTATATATATTGTTTTTGTAAAAGAAGAAAACAATGAAATACGTATATACTTCTTGAAAATTTCTCTTTCGGTTTGGTTTACATAATAAACATCCTTATCCCAAGAGAAAATCATTCCCCCGTGGATGCACGTTTAACGGGGTAGCTCTTGTATGCTTCTTATGAGGGTAGAAAGGGATTGGAAACGCAGGATAGTAGGAGTAAAGGTTGTATGGCTATTGAGGACATCATAAAAGTTTAATGTGTCCCTAAAGTTCGATGGAGTATATGATCTGATCATAAATCAAGACTATCATTCGAGGTTGCGCAGGGTTTACATAAAAGAAGAAGGAGAGGGGGCAGTCGGAAGGAGTTGAAGGAAAAACGATTCGCTCGAGTTGTGTCTCTCTAATTTTATATCCGTTCGTTTTTTTGAGAATAAGAAAGAGAAGAATGAAAGAAAAAAATATAAAGGAAAAAGAATGGGTACTCTCTGCCAAGAGAGTGAGAGTGTGAGAGAGAGAGATAAAATGGAAATGAAATGAAAAGAGATTGAAATGAAATTGAATTTGAGAAACGGTTCCGGTTGAAAATAGATGTTAGGAAGTAATTACGGATTAACTTGCATATTTGCCAGAGCTAAATATGTTCAATTGAGATGCTAGAATTGAGAGAAGAAGATATATTAAATATATGAATTAAATTATCTTACGCGTATGAATAGAAGATAATTTATCTATATTTTATGAATAATCGATTGGTAACGTTATCAACGTTATGTGTTTTCTTTTTTCACTTTCATAATTATTTCATTATAATGCTTTTTCGATTAAATCACAATTCGTCGTGATGATACCAGTCAAAAGATTAAAAGAGATTAAATGAAAATAACATAAAAATGTACACACACAATGAAAGGGGAATAAAAGAAAATAGAATAACGTAGCTGAAAGCTGTTCAACCGAACGCGAGTTAAGGAAATATTGAATAATCGTACTTAAACTTCCACCGAGTCTCAGAGTTTAAGAAGGGAAAAAACTTTTTTCAAGGAATGAAAAAAAGAAAGTAGGAAGTAGGAAGAAGAAGAAGAAGAAGATGGCGTTTTTCAGTAAAAATATTCATATTTCTTGCACGTAGTTTGGATTGAATACGTCGTAGATATCGTCCATCTCGTAATTTCCGTTATATAAAACCAATTCTCAAAGATTCTCGTACAGCAACGTTCCTCTCGGTGTACATACAAGCGGAAAATGGTATCGTGTACCTGAAAAGTGGCCGGTATCTGTTGGTAACAGTATAGACATTCCGATATCGATATGCTAACGTAAAATGCCATATAGAAACCGTCGCGTCGTAAGATTCCATAAAACTTTCTTGTAACGTACGATCTACGAATAGAATCGAAATTTTAAATTTCATCTTTTTCTATGTTGTTTGTTGCTACTTACAGTCGTTTTAGTCAAGTGTAAGAGAATCTGATTTAAAATAAAGTAAAATATGTTTAAAAGAAATTAAAAAAAAAACAGAAAAAAATATATTTATTTAAGATTTATACGAAACCAAAAATATTTATCTATTTTCAAAAATAATCTTCTATATCTGGCATTTTATTTTTCTTCTTCTTCTTCTTCAAAAAAAAAAAAGAAAAAAAAAGAAAAAAAGTTCTTTAATCCTAGTTCTTTAATCTTCAAACAAGAGCATCGGCGAGTCGTCAGTAACGAAAAGTTTTAAAGATCTCTCACGAAATTCTTTTAAAAGAAACATATTTTCTTTACTTTAGTTTGTGTAAAAAGAAGAATAAGAGAAGTTTCCCCCTTTTTCGATCCATTAGTCTGCCATAAGATTTTATGCGTTACATTAAATTTTGATAATCTACCCCGAGTGGATTCAACAGATCAACTGGTGTACGACGGGGTCTGAAAAGAGCATTCGTAAATAAAATAAAAAAAAACAAAAAAAAATAAAAATAAGGTTTAGAAGGATGGTTATGGCAAGGGTAGGGAAAGTGTAATCACGTTAATTTATGCACTTTGACGAGAAACGGAAGCGATCCTGCGCGTAACGCCTCGGAAAGTGTCGCGAGAATATCGATTTAGTCGAAAGTGGGTGAGATTAGGCGAAATAACACTATGAGGAGGGGTTCAGGTTGCATCGAAATGCCAAGAGCACGTAGCTAAATGTCTTCGAATCGACAATTAAATGTTCAGTACGTTAAACCTGACTCGTTACCCTTGTCGTTAACTGAAGATTATTCTGATAATACGCGACACACATAATTTGAATCATTTTCATAATCGTTTCTACGATTAGATTTTTATCTCGATAATTAAAAACAAAATATATTAATTCCAAACCATTAGATACAATGCAATTTGTACGATTTCATTTTCCATCAGTTTTCGGAAAAGAAAACCGTGTAACAAATTTTTCATTTTACTAAATTCCGGGGGAAAAAAAAAATTGGTTAGATTAACGACACTTTTCATTTCCCTTTACCTTGACTGTCTCCCCCCCCCCTCCCTATCCCCCTAGTCGGAGCTTTTCCTACAACAATCCCCCTGGCAGGACGAATTTTTAAATCGACAAGAACCATTCGCCGAGAACGATTCTGTTTTGATCAAAAGTCGGGGGCTTTCCATTTCTGGCAACGTTCAATAATCTCCCATGCATATTTCATCGCACGCGCCGTCAAACATTTAAATGCACTATAGAGAGCTATGGAAAGTGCGCGCACGCGAGCGCGTTCAAAGCGGATTTATTGCGAGCCTAGTGAAATACGCGCGCAACGCGCAAATGGTACATAACTTGGGCTCGTATAAATGTTGCGCATGTATATGCGAATACAAATATATCTACATAAATATACAATTTCATATATATGTATATATATATATATATATATATAATATATTGTATCATATTACACATTAGAATAATTTTAAGAAAACATTACCGATAATATTGCAATGTGTAATATTCAAAATTTTGTTTCGCTGTTCTTTACCTCTCTACATCTTTACTTGTAACTTTCTAAATACGTGGAAGTATATGTTCGCAAACTTAAAGTTGTGTTATCCGTATTGAACATTTCCGAAGTTTTCCAAGCTAAACTTATAGAAGATATATCCAACCACTTCTTAAACAATAAAGATGTTACCATGTAATATGATTTCGAAAAAATATGAAATTGATCAGGATGAAAATTGACTACAAGATCCAATATAGTCGAAGAAAGTGTCATTAATCGTGAAAGGTAATAATAGTGTAATGATATAAATGGGAAGTAACTCGGATCAGTGTTGCATTTGGGTGAGTTTGTATTCCATGGACACGTATTCGATAAAGCGTTGAGTAGAATATTCAATCAAGTAACAGCCACAGCAGCTGGTTCGTAAGATGCCAAGAACTTGGTGGTAAAAGGTGGAAAGAAAACTCGAAAGAACACTGAGGGTAAGCCTGTTGATCGACACTGTCTTCGCATTCTTCTCGAGGGCTAAAGGTACAACGTTGCTAAAGCGAAGGTAAACGATTCTTTCGTGAGGTCAACGACTTTACGTTTAGTACACTTTATCGACAAAAGGTTCCCGAGGTTTCTCAACATTTTTCAGTTAAAATACATGACCAAACGTTTCGTTCAACTTGTATTCAAGACACGCGAAAATCGAGCGAAACATTTTTCACGTAATCCCATTTACGACAGAAATATAATCCGGGTCAAGTGTTAGCGATTTCTGAAAGCGAACTGTGAATGGGAATAACGTTCATTGTTTCAAACACATATTTGAACAAACATTCCTAGCACTCCTCCAATCTACTAACCTGAACGTCCCTGGTGAATTGGTTGTTACAGTAAATATGAATTGCCGAGAATTCTCTGACTACATCGAACTCAAATTTGATTTCTATTGGTTGATCATTTCGTGTATCGTTCCTCCATCCAACCCAGCCTTGCCTTCGATCGTCATAATAGCCCATTTTGAAATCATCCGGGCCCATTTTACCGTCTATCAATTGGCCCAATCCACGACGAAGTTCATCGTCCCAATGACCGTCGTAAGTGGCGTCGAAGAATTCCCATTCGTTACCTCTCTTGTCGCCTTGGGGCATCGAATAGGATACAACACCGTCTGACAATGCAAACAAAAAAAGAAAACCAATATTCTTAAGTTAAATTAATTAACTATAAGATTATTGAATTAAATATTAGACCTGGATAAGAAAATTGATAATATTGATAAACAAATCGCGAGTCAATATTTTATTTAGTATTTTATATCTGTGTAAGACCATTTTATATTTTATACGATTCACACAATTTACGAGGGAACTGATCCTGTTGTAAAATGGGTGGGTATTTATGCGACGCATAGAGTTTTCCTCGCTAATAGAACGTTCCAAGCTGGCATACCAAGGGGGTCGAGAAGTTTCACGAAAATTGCCAAGTGCAAACAGCTTACCGCTCCAGTAACACCCGTAGAGCTCGACCCGCATGCAAACTGTCCGCGTGTGACTGCTGAAGGGTAGAAAACGGATCTTGCTAGCCCACAGAGGTGGCTCCAGTTCATGCTTGGACTCCAAATACGTGTTCGTGTTGCCTGGTATTACCTGCAAGTAAAGAGAAAGAGAAAGAGAATGTCAGCTAAAGACCAGAATAATTTCGATTTCCATATTCGGCATTTGAATTCTCTTTGGAATACACCAAATCTCATTAGTTCTAATTATACTAAACTTTTCTTATTAGTTTATATTATTTTTCAATAATTTCCATTAAATATTCATCATATTATTATAACGGATAAGAGATTCTAAAAGTATATTAAACTTAATTATATTAATGATTAACCAAGAATGATGCATAGTTCGTTGGTTTACCATAATTAAACGCAACGTAGCGACGTTTATGTATCCCACATAGTAGATCGTGATTAGTCGGTACATGGAATACCGTTGTCTTCTCCCAGGTATCTTGTCATAAGGACGAATATCGCATTCCATTTCATCGGACAAGACTAAGGACTAATTTCATCCTGCATACCAAGGCAAGTTAGGTAGGAAAGATGATATGCAAGAGGGAGAGAAAATAAACGAATATATTTCAAACACGTAATAAATAAATCTATATCTTGATTAATAATATAAAATGCATTAAATGCATTAAATAATATAGAATCTAAAAAAAAAAAAAAATAAAAAAAAAGTAAAACATAAAATAAGAGATTGGATTAGATTATTATATTCGTAATTACATTTTACCGTTAATTATTATTCGTCATTTACGTGTATCGCTATTAAAAAAATAATATTTATTTTCAATAATATATAAGTAATATAAAGTACGGGGAAAAAAGCTTGAGAATTGTAATATTGATTTTTCCAAGTTTATGAATAAAATAAGCAGTTTTATCTGACGTTGAGCGACCCAGGGAAAGAGATGAAAGAGTGTGGGATATAAAGACAGGCGGAATGACCGAGTATGTATTAGGGTATAAATGTATGTATAATGGTATGTGTGCATGGTGTCCCGAGAGATCACGCGAAGTGGCGTTGCCCATGGTGAGCAGATAGCAGCAAGCTGCAAAGTATGTATATATATATATATATATATATATATATGTGGTAAGAGCTTTTACTTGGTGTACGTGTCCGATGTGTGTACGTGTAAGCTTGATAGTTTCTTGCGTATAGAACACAGGGTATAACACGGTCGCGTGACAAAGTATTTTGTGGCAGACACGACACATTCTGTGCACGTTTCGTTGCTCGGCACACGTTTCTCGCCTTCGGACACCTTTATCACCCTTCTTGCTACTACCTCGACCTTCTTTCTTTTTTTTTTCTTTTTTTTTTTTTCTCTCTTTCTATTTTCGTCCATACAGGTACGGACATGTACCATCGATTTCAGTTTTGGTATCGCCAATATCGAGTTCACTATTCGATACATCTATGTGCATAGAAAGTGATCCTTCTTTACCTTCCTTTTGCAATTCTTGAATATACACTACTTGTTTTTATAGTATTATATTATTCTAGATGGTAAAAGGATATTACTTTACTGTAAAACTTATCCTCCACCCCTCTAATTCTATTTCAATAGATCAGAATTCAGTCTAACGTAGAAATGTTCAATGGAGTTTATTTAATAATCGATTATTACGTCTGTGAAATATGTATAACAGCCAATATTTTTGAAGTAACTTTATTGTTGTTGTTGGTTTTACTTGTCGTTTTATATATATAAATATGAAATTTTAATATTTAACATAGAGAGAGATAGCTCAAAGGTAGTAAATTATTAAATAATTATCATTTCTTTTTTCTTTTTTCGATTGTTTTTTGCAATACCGGGGATAACTTTTTCTAAAAAGTCTTGTTCAAGTTGGTCGGTGCAACCTGGAGCCACGCCTGAAGTACTTAGCGTGCGAGATCGTAATATCTTTCTTCCTCTCGTTTTTGCTGTCGGTATCATACGTTGTCAAGGAGCAATAATGCGGTGCAACGTGGACGATGGATACATGCACGTTATTTCTTCATTACGTAGTCATGGAACGTTGTACCAGTTTGTCCCCCCCTACACCCCCACACAACCCACACCACCCCAAAACAAAATTCTTCCTCTTCAAAACGATTTACGATTCTTTTATATCTGATCGATGAAACGCGATATTTTGATAGTGGAATATACATTGTGATTGATTCTCATTGGTCACACGCCTCCTATCCATTGCAAATATTTTAAATTCGTGTCGCATTGAAATTCCTATCACGTTCGCTCTTGCATTACTAACTGGATTCGTTGAAACTGCTGGTGCATATTTAAAAAATACAAAAAAAAACATATGCAACCTACGTATATACGTATGTAGAGAATTGTTGTTTTTATATTTTGCGTTCGTCAAATAGAACACACCACATTTTCGTGAATCGTCTATGAGCGATGATACTTTTCATTTCCATCTTGTCAATTTGATTACTTTTTCTTTCTTTCTTTCTTTCTTTATTTCATTTTAAGGAATACAATTTTATACGATTTTCAAACGAGTTAAATTAAAAGAAACATTGTTGTGTTTATCCTTTCAAAATGTACTTTTCTTTTACTTAGGAAGTTGAAAATACTTGGAAGTAAAAGCTAGTCAAGATACGAAGTAGGTATTAGCGAGTTCATATGCCCACCCCCTCAGTGCAATTTGCCAGAGCTACATCGATTTCACTTCTGCAAGAGGAAAAACAAGACGTGGTGCGTGTAGTGCAAGGGGAGCTGGGGGCCGGGGGAAAGTCGATACGAGTTGGTGGTGGTGCGTGCTCGTACTTGGGGGTCAAACGTTAGACACGGAGGTGATCGTCGATGTTATCGACCTTTTGTGGCTACGACGACGACGACAACGTTGAAGTCGTTGCCCACAAGATTCCTTCTTTCGTGTTTAGAACCATTGTTGGTTCGTAGAAACGATAATAATTACTAATGCTAATTGAGTTTTTCTACTTATAATTTTACTATCAAAGTAATTTACCTAAAGTTTTTATTTTTTTTCCCCCATTTACGTTAATTCTATTCTCACAAATTCCAATAATAATAAATATTAATATAATTAACGTAATATAAATTCGTTGCAATGTAATTCGATCTAATTAATTATAATTTTTAATTTATCTCTCTCTCTCTCTCTCTCTCCAACTAATTATAATAAATTGTATAAATATCTTTAAAAAAGAGTGTAAATTTGTAACGAGAAAAAAATATATTTACGTTAAATTCACATTTTTATCTAATAATAATAATAATAATGTTAGTATTATGCGATTCGCAAGAAGTATACAAAAATGAGGATCTTTTTATACAATTGACACGACACTAGAACATTAGGAATGTATATTGTGAACACGTACGAAGCATAAGGTTTCGAAGTATCCTCTGAATGGGGGTAAAAAGGGACGAGTTAAGGATGAAACTGAAACTGCAAAAGGGCAGGTGGAACACGTTTCTTAGGAGAAGTGTGAAAAGTAAAAACGGTGTACAAGGACGCGATGTGAAGTCATTTTACAAGCTTCCTCTTTTCCCTTTTCTCGTTCATTCTTTTTTTCCTCTTTTCCTTTCATTCTTCCTTTCTTTCTTTCATTCTTTCTTTCATTCTTTCTTTCTTTCCTACCTTCTATCCATCTTTTTTCTCGAGTCGCGAGCGTGAGATAAGACATCTGTCGACTTTTATGCACTCGCTATACCCGACGGGACTCGTAAAATTATATTGCGAACACGTTCTTGAGTAAGAGAAAGAGAAAGAAGGAGTTTAAGTTCATATTTCGATAGAACTTGTCGTCTGAAGGAGACCTCTTTCTCTTCTATGAGCGAATGAATGAAAGTAAAAAAAGAAAAGAAAAAAAGAAAAATACCTGACAATTCCTCACACTTGTTCGAATACTTAAGAACGAGAAACTTGAGATAGAAAGAGAATTGAGAAAACCTGAGGTACTTTAAACATTTCCTACCCTCCCCCCATTTACATGATAATAAACTATCTTCTTCTCAGATTTGTACGTGATATTATTTTAACAAGAACAAATGTATTATGTAAAAAAAAAAATAATAGAAAATATTCTTATATATAATATAATATAATTGATTATTATCGCTAACGCGTATATAAATTTGTCGACGAAAATTTCTATTGAAAAGAAAAATAATGGAAAATAATATTCGACTGGTTGCGCATATGCGCGCGATGTAATAAATTCGATTTATGTGTTTCTTCGATAGGTAGACGAAAAAAAAGAAAGGGTCACGAGCTACTACTCAAGTTACAGCCACTCAAGTTCGCATTGACATGAACGAGTAGTACACTAGAAGAAGAAGTACCTTATTTCGAAAATTTCTCAACTACGAACATTTTTAAAAATCATACGTTTATCATACAATTCTTGTTTCGAGTAGTCCTCGTGGTTGCGATCAAATCGAGACGACAATAATACAACTACTTCTCATCGAAGAATATAGTGTGTCAATAATATTTGTCTGTTCTAATTTGTGAAAAAAAGAAAAAGAACAAGGAATAGTCAAAATTGTCTAAAAATTTGATCTTAAAAAAGAAAAGAAAAAGAAAGAACACTTTGTAGAACATCGAATTAGAATAAAAACGGTGGATTTAAAAATAAATGAGAATAAAAAGTACTATCGAATGGTAAATGATAAAAAGAAAAAAGAGTATGTAATGGTATAGCTGTCAGGGAGATTTCTAAAGCGAGCAAGAGAAAAAGAGAGAGAGAGAGAGAGAGAGAGAGAGAGAGAGAGAGAGAGAGAAATGAAAATTAGAAAAAAAGAAGAAAAAAAAGAAGAAAAAGTGACGGTACAAGCAAGTAGGTTCTATCGCCATTATTCCGTCACGCGAAGAAATTGTGTTCCCTTTCTCAAAACACACACACACACACACACGAATATATAGATAAATACACGCAGAAACGCATACACATTATCCTCCATATCTTCTTCGTAGCCGCAGAGAATACTATGGTGGAAATCCGATAATTACGAAGGGTGGCGAAATGGGAGGGACGGAAGTGCGTGCGTGCGTGCGTGCATGCATGCGTTTGTTCGTTCATTCGTATATGTACGAGTG